GATGCAATTCTTGGTCAACTTGTCCATGAGAGGATTCCTTTGAAAGTTCAGCTCAAATATCCGTCGTCTGGGAAATCTCTCCTAGGGAAGTTGGCAGAGCTGGTATCTTCCCTCCTAATTCTATCATATGATTGTTTATGCAAAAGGTTGCAGAGATAGAGCATGGTGTCACTGTATCCTGTGTCTCCTTGCAAGAAACACTCAGGAGACTGGCGTTGCCCTAGTCCTCTGCCATCCTGAGCTGCAGTGCCTAGTGGAAGGTGGAACACCTGTTGCATGATGACCTTGGGGAATGAGTGAGCCTGTGAGCTTCACAGGGAAGTAGCTTTTACCTAAACTGAATTTGGCATTTATAATAGTTCATGAAAAGTTCCTCATCAGCGAGTTAGATCAGATATTAACAGCGCAGCTTCTAAAATTATTGTTGTCAAAGCACAGCAACAAAGAAATCAGGCCAGCAGCGTCAGCTGAACGTGGTATGAAGTTATGATTCAGATTCCCAAATGGTCAGTCCTTACGGCCAAGCCTCTCCAGGACTGTGGAAGGGCCATGGAGCTTGGTGGTGCCAGTGATTGCCACAGGAGCAGAGGAGGGTTGGTGCAAGTGAGAAACCAGTAAAGGGGGAAAGTGTAGGCCTCCCCTAGACTTCTTTCCAGGTTTGGGGCCATGAGACAGTGACTTCTTGAATGTGGGCTTGAAGCTTTTTCCCACAAGTCACTCCCAAATGGGGTTGAAGAAAGAGGAAACAACTCCACACACCTGCTTCATTGTTGTCAGCTCCCATGCACTCACCTGAGTCTGCTCCCTTACCTCTCACCTGGAGTACTCGCAATTTCCTGATACCAGAATTATTGCAGGAAGTGTGGGTTGCTCCTAATGCCCTTCCAAAGATATCCCCTTTTCACCAAGTAACCCAAGACGTTAGTGCCTGGTTCTTCTTCCTTTAACATTTAGGCCCATTCTTACTTCTTGACTATAGGAGAAGCCTTTCCTTCCAAAGTGGTCCACAGCTTGTAATTGACCTCAAAACCCTTCCAACAGAATTGTGGGGTAGGTCTGCATTGTTATTTACAACTTAATAATTTTTAGATACTGCCTTTTCATTTACTGTCAGGCGTTTGTCCACAGGAACCTGACCTGAGCTGTCACTCCCCATCCTGATTATCCTCAAGCTGATAGACTAAAATCTAAGTCTACCCTAAGAAAAGTTGTTGCAGTAGTTTAGCTGATGACAATCACATCCTCAATGACAGACAGTCAGCAAGGCTGAATTAATAATCCAGTCATGGTGCAAGACTTTTGGAATCTGTTTTTAGTCTCGACATACCATTCCTGAAAGCAACCCCACTATTATATCTAATACTGTTATTATAAAATATACTCCTATTGTTAGCCATTCCCTAAGATATTCATCAGAACAGAGATTATCTGGGAAACACGAAGAATTTGATGACATGATTTACAGGTTCTGGATAAATCAGATTTTCGATGAAACACAAGCTGAGAACAGAAGCTTCTTGCAGATTGAAGCCAGAGGAGGTGGGAGGTCAAGTCTGAGGAAGCAGGAAGAGAAGGCCATCTTTCACCAGCTGGGAGAAAGTCAGCTAGCCTCAGTAAGAGGTTGCTAGGATACTGCACTGGCCATTTACAATCATAGAGCAGTGATTCTCAACTGGGAGTGATTTTGTCCCACAGGGAACATTTGGTTATGTCTAGAAACATTTTTGGCTGTCACAACTCAAGAAGTGCTACTGGCATCTGTTGGGGAGAGGCCAGAGAAGCTGCTAACCACCCAAAAACTTATAAGACAAACCCCTATGACAAAAAAAGTATCCTATGTAAAATGTAAAGGGCCAAGCTGAAGAAAGCATGCTGTAGCTGTAAGGACATTAAGAAAATTGAGTTCCAGAAGCTAATACCAAACCATTACAATGAAAAGCTGGAGCTGGAAGATGGGACCAGCTTTGTGAACCAGAGAGTGACTACGCACAAAATAATAAGCCAGGAAAAACAGGAAAGAAATTAGAGGGGGAGCTGGATTTCCAAAAGGATGTTCAGAGATCCAAGTGGGAAAGAAAACCTCTTTCTAATCTGCCCACGGAAGTCAGACGGCCAAGTGAGAAATCTTGGGGGACATGTTAAGAAATATTCCATTTGCTGAAAGACAGGGCAGAGCCTCCAAAGACCAAGGCTCCTGGCTTCTGCCCAGGCAGTAGAATCTACTGCAATGAATCTTGGGTTCAACTTTGCAAAGTGAGTAATTCAAGGTCAGAACAGGAAAGGCTGAGACAGGGAGTAACATATGGGCCACCATGGGTCAGCCTGGGTCCTCCAAGAACCAGGCATCAGGACAGATTTCAACATGGAAAACATTTCTCCAAGAAACAACCTTGAGAGAAGACAAGGAAAGAGCCTGAAGAGCCTGAGAGCCAGCAAGCAACAGGGCCAGGCTGGCCCTACACATAGAGGGAGAGAAAGGCAGGTGGCTAATGTGGGCAGAAGCTCACAGTGTAGTGGGATTCCAAGGAATGCTTGGGGAGGCACTTCGAGTCAGAATTCCCAAGTAATGGGGAGCATGCCTCCAGTGGGAAACCCTACCTCAACCCCTTGTGTCCAGGTGTGGGTTGAAGGCACCATGAAACACTGGGCCTCAGCGCCAGCAGAGCGATGGAACTCCGGGAAAAGCAGCCGAGGAGGCTTCTGATCAGCACATTTCCTGTAGATCTGAGAGACATGTGCTCCTGGCCACTGCCAGTGATGGAACTGGCCTTGACTGACCTTAGTGCAAAAGCTATGTCCCAGAGAATGCATCCGTTCCCAGTTTCTACTCGTTTCTGTGCATCTCCATTAATGTGCCGTAATACTCTCTCTTTCAAAACACTCTAACCCTACTCAGCTGGACTTTTCCTCAGGGGAAAGCTAGGACCTCAGGGCCCTTATGATGGGTGGCCCCTGGGGTAGTACTAGGGCCAAGAAGGAGGAAGGTAGAGTTTTAAGGGTGAGGACTCGAGAGCTGTTAGAATGAATAGAACTTGGCCTTTAGATTTCCTTTCTTGCAGAGATGGCTCTGCATTTATTTCCCTTTAATGGTCTTTTCTGATCGATGCAAGAACACAGTGGGTGCTGGTCTGTGTGCACTGATATGTTACTCATTTTCATCACAAGGATAGTATTGTTGGAGAACATTACAGGTGCTCCAAGATGGGGTGTGCCAAAAGCCAAGGATGCATCCCCAGGTTAATCCCACATGGAGGTAGCTAGAGCCTAGACAATGGAAGCATCTTGCCAAGGATGGAGCTGACGTTTCTGTCTGGACCCCCATCCCAAGCAATGGGACCACTTAGTGCAGGGGTCTCTCTACAGTGGTACTCAGCCCTTGGGGCACACAGAGAGATCCACTGATTGGGGGAGGGGCATATGACAAATCCTCTATTTTCCATCTTATCCTTCATCTCACTCGATAAACAGAGGAACCTAAGTATCTTTCACACATAGTAAGTTCATAGTGTACATGCTTAGCATTTTTATGCACTAACTGTCAGCATTCCCAACCCAAAACTTGAGACACCACTGGCTGTACAGTAAGTAGTAGAAATGATGGCAGGAGACAGGTCGTAGTGGAGCTACTTGGGTTGGTAAAGCGCAGCTGGTGGCCATGCCTGTAAGTGTCTCCCACTCAACTGCAACAGAGCCTGTGGGAATGGGGACTGACAGGCATCACATTAGAGGACAGAAAACTAGCACTAAACAGACATCTGAGCAAACCATACCAGGACAGCAGGGCAACAGAATGGAGCCAAAGGAAGCACCTGGGCAGGAGAAAAGTGCTTCTGAAGACGGGAGAGGGCAGCCAGACTTCTCCCAGCCCAGCTGAGCTAACGAGTCAGCTGGTGGACAAGGATGCGTAGAGAGAGGGGACCCTCAAGGATGCTCGCCTAGCTGAGCACCGCCTGCTCAAGAGGCCTGGGAGACCGGAGGGTTCTGGTTCTGGTTCTGGTGCCCATGTCCTGGGATTGCAAGACCGCAGCATCCGGTGAGCAGTACGTGGCTCTAGCATCACCCAGACCTAAGCAGGGTCTGGTGACATTTCCACTCCTGATGTGACAAACAACCTTCAAATGACCCTTACCAGCAAAAACAGTTAGAAGAGGAGCGGAGAGTGTGTGTTTGGAGTTTGGTGTGTGTTTGGTGGGTATGTGAGCATGTGTTACACACATGTATACTCATATGGTAGTATGAAAGTGTGTGTGCATGTGTTATGTCTGCAGGGTCTGGAGTGTGGGTAGGAGGAGTGGGGGGCTTTGAGGAAGGAGGTGTTGTATGGGTGGCGAGGTATGGGATGTGTGTGTTGGGGGAACATGTGTATATGGATGGTGTGTATTGCGCATTCCTGTGTTATGTGCGCAGAGGTGTGGGGTTTGTATGAGTATGTATAGGAGGAGACGCATATGTGAGAGGTGTTTTATGTGTGTGTGTGTGTTATGTGTTCCTGTGTCGTGTGAGGGGACATGGTGTGTGAGTGTGTTGTGTGTTCCATATTCCACGTATGAGTGGGATGTGTATGTATGGGTGGTAGATGTGTGTTCCTGTGTAATGTGTGTGGGGAGGTGTGGTGGGTGTGTGTGTGTGTGTGTGTGGTATGTACATGGGAGGTATTGCATGGATGGTATGTTGTGTGCTCCTGTGTTAAGTGTGTAAGAGGTGTGTATATAGGCGTTGTGTGTTTCTGTCTTAAATGTGGGGGGATGTGGTGTGGAGTGTGTGTGTGTGTGTGTGTGTGTCTATGTGAAGTGTTTTATGGATATGTGTGTTGTGTGTTCCTGTGTTCCATGTGTGAGTGGGATGTGTATGTATGGGTGGTAGATGTTGTGTGTTCCTGTGTAATGTGTGTGGGGAGGTGTGGTGTGGTGGGTGTGTGGTGTGTGTATGTGCGAGGTGTTGCATGTGTGGCATGTGTTGTGTTAGGTGTGTGGGTAGGAGGTGTGTGTATGGGTGTTGTGTGTTCCTGCATTATGTTTGTGGGGAGGTAGAGGTGTGGTGTGGTGTGTGTGTCTATGTGAGGTGTCATGGGTGTGTGTGTTGTGTGTTCCTGTGTTCCATGTGTGAGTGGAGACCTGTATGTATGGGTCATGGATGTTGTGTATTCCTGCAGTATGTGTGTGGGGAGGTATGGTGTGTGTGCGGGGAAGTGTTGTGTGTATGGCATGTATTGTGGACTCCTTTGTTAAGTGTGTGGGTAGGAGGTGTGTGTATGTGTGTTGTGTGTTCCTGTGTTCCATGTGTGAGTGGAGACCTGTATGTATGGGTCATGGATGTTGTGTATTCCTGCAGTATGTGTGTGGGGAGGTATGGTGTGGTGTGTGTGCGGGGAAGTTTTGTGTGCGTGGCATGTATTGTGGACTCCTGTGTTAAGTGTGTGGGTAGGAGGTGTGTGTATGGGTGTTTTGTGTTCCTGTGTTCTGTGTGTGAGTGGGGAGCTGTTTGTATGAGTCGTGGATGTTGTGTGTTCCTGTGTAATGTATGTGGGGAGGTGTGGTGTGTTGTGTGTTTGGGGGAAGTGTTGCATGCATGGCATGTGTTGTGAGCTCCTGTGTTAAGTGTGAGGGTAGGAGGTGTGTGTATGGGTATTTAAGTTCCTGTGTTGCGTGTGCGTGTGCATAGGTGGTAAGCAGAGGCAGAGAAGGGAGCCAGCTGTTGTAGGCACCGAGGTCCACTATGCTCACCCACAATCCGTGAGATGTCTGTGAGTGACTGCATTGTGCATGCACGTTCTAATGCCTCAGGCTGGGGGTGTCAGCAGGGATCGACCCCCGAGGATGATGACTGCTGGCAGCCTCCGCTCCCCAGCTCAGGGCAGGCAGGGCTTTGCTCTAGATGGGACCACAGCAGGCTCAGGTCTTCTGCCTATTGCCGGGTCAGCGCTCGCTGCTGGGAGGCTGGGTGGCTCACTCACAGGAGGGTGCTGGCAGTCCCCATGCCTGGTGGCCTGGGGCTCCCCCGTCCTTCCACATGTCTGGACAGTCCCAGTTCCACTCTATCCCTGCCTTTCCTTCCAGCTCTAACCTTTGCTTTCTGGCTGCACACTGCCTCCGCCATCCACTGCCAAATGTTCAGTGGAAAACAAAAGAGTAGCCTTCAAGGAATCTTGAGAGAGTAATTAAGATTTTTTTTTTTACATATTAATTTCTTCAAGCCAAATAAAGCCAACCGCAGACCTAATGGGAGATCTACTGATGGCAGAGCAAGGTCCACCCCCAGCACCAGGAGCCATATCAGAAGGCCAGGGTCAAGTGAGAGGCTTCCTCTTCACTGAAAAATCTATCATGGTCCTATTCTTGTTGTCACCACTGCAAAGGAGCAGAACAATCACGAGGAGCTACAAATAAAGCGAAATCGGGGAATACAAGGTGCTTTCACAGGGGAAAAAAGCTATAATGCATCTTCTTTGACTTCTCCCATTTCCCCCCATCCTCCTAAAGTGCCTGTCTGTTGCCTGTGCTCCTCAACCACAGCATAAAATATGACTTTGATACCAGAAAAAAAAAAAAAAGAAGCCAAAAAACCTGCTGCTCTCTCAGGCACATTGACTCCAATGGTGCTTCTGGAAGGCTAACCAGGTGGAAATGTCAGTGGTTTCTCTGCACCTCTAATCTCCAGGCAGATGTGCCTGCCAGACAGCCCTGACTTCAATCAGCCACGCTCGGCTGTGTCTGCTGGACATCCAAAGAAGCTCCCACTGGTCCTATGAAACTTGACCTCATCAGCACAGCCTCTGATGCACATGGGCAATACCAGGGCTGGGGCTGCAGCCTGGGCGTGGGTCAGTTCAGAGCCAATGCTGAATAGTGGGACCTTACACCTCCAATAGTGTGCCTATCCAAAGCCAGGCCCAGAGAGCTCTGTGGATATTCAAATACAAGGAAGAATGGAGTATCTAGTTCCATAAGGGGACCAGGGCAGCTCTGCACTCCACATAAAGCAAGAAAAAGACTGTGCAACCAAGGGATAAGAAGATCAATTGTCTCCAGGGACTAAGACTTATGTAATCAGGGCCCGAGGGCTTTAGCTATCCAGGGAGGAGACCCATGACAAGGATAGCTAAAGAGCTAACATTCAACAAGAGCAAAGTGCTTGGAACATACTTGGTCTCAATGGCCCTTCTCAGAACTGCAGGTAGGCTTTGCCATCTCTACTCCAGCTGTGATTTTTTATTTTTGAAGCCACCAAACACCTGAGCATGTCTGCTTAGGGCAGGGTACCAGAGGTGTGAGTGACCCCAAAAGTTACTCCTTGCCCAACACCCGGCTGCATCATCGAATCCATGGTGATCACTGTGGACGCAGCCCTAAGTTCACTGCAAGAGTGTGTGGAAACCTGACATGCTGTATGGCTTCTCCTTGGATTAAAATCACTGGGTTTCCTTCTTAGACCATTCGACCCTTGCTAGGGCACATTCAGGAGAACCAAAGAGGCCCCTCTTTCCACCAAGTACCCTCTCTATCCCATACACCACTCCTGAAAGTCCACATTGGGTTATGGCAGTAATCCTAGGAGACAGTGTCTTCAGCCCAGGCCTGCTACTCACACAGCCAACAGCACCTTTAGCCAGGCATTGAGCTCCACATCAGCTCTGTTCCAGGTTTCTCACATCACCACCCACGTGGAGGACTCCACATTCTCTGTAGGGCTGAAGCAGCCTGTCTCGGGGGACATACACCACTTTCCAGGGCTCTCCACGGAACAAACAGCAGCAACCAAATGCTGCTTGGTGTCTGTGGAAGTAAATGCAGCAGCTGCCTGAAAGAGACCTCCTGCTCTATAACAGGACTCACAGGTACCTTGTGCACACCACCGCCCCTGGCGATTACAAGCCACCATAGCCAGAGGAAGAAGCAGCCAAGGGAAAAGAAGAAAGACCAAAGGAGAGTGGCCTACCCCAGTGCAGGAATGGGGCCTGCCAAACCGCAGCTGGAGAGCTCTGCAGAGAGGGTGCATCTTTGTGCTTCTGTTGTGACCTTGGGGGCTGCCCTGGAACGGAGGCAGAGTAGTTTTTGTTTTCCCCTATTCTCCAGGGAGCGCTAGGATCCTGGAGAATTAAACCCTTGTCCAGGGTCAATGAGTTCATAAATGCAGAGGTGAAGTCAAAAGTCATGGGGTCACTAGGTCACAGCTCCACAAGGTGGCCACAGAAGTTTCCTTCTTGGGCCAGCGCTGCGGCTCAATAGGCTAATCCTCCACCTTGCAGCGCCGGCACACCAGGTTCTAGTCCTGGTTGGGGCGCCGGATTCTGTCCCAGTTGCCCCTCTTCCAGGCCAGCTCTCTGCTGTGGCCCAGGAGTGCAGTGGAGGATGGCCTGGGTCCTTGGGCCCTGCACCCCATGGGAGACCAGGAGAAGCACCTGGCTCCTGCCTTCCTTTCGGATCAGCGTGGTGCACCGGCCGTAGCACGCTGGCCGCGGCGGCCATTGGAGGGTGAACCAACAGCAAAAGGAAGACCTTTCTCTATGTCTCTCTTTCTCACTGTCCACTCTGCCTGTCAAAAAAAAAGTTTCCTTCTCTAAAAGTAAATCATTGAAGAGGAAGAAGGAAAGATACCATCGTATGGCCCCATTTTCATGGAAATTGTGGGGCTATCCTGGTAACAGGTGTGAGGTAGTGTCCATTTACTCCTGAGACTTCAGTGGAGCCCATCTTTTCCTGGAGCCCATCAGGAAAAGATGTAGAATCCCAGTAGTGGTTTTCATCCCCCCTCCCATATGGGCTGCACCCAAAGTGGCATCAATCCCCACGCCAAGTAAGACTGGGCACTCTCTTCATGGGATGAAGCCAGGGGACTTCCCAGGAAACTCCAGCTCCTCTTGGATCCTGTAGGCTGATGGGCTATTTCCATCTGCTGCACTCTCTCTTCCAACATTCTCTTCTTTTGGAGGAGCTTAGGAAATCCCTTGGCACTGGGCTGTCCAGAAGAACCAGGTTGGTTTATTCTGAGAAGCCCCTGGGTTCCCTAGACCCCACATCCTAGGAAGGGACACGACCACAGGTGCTTGGCTTGTCCCTCCACTCCTACTGTCTGATCCTATCCGGCATGTTTTTGAGTCTGAACTCTTGCATCCCATTCTGCATTTGTCTTCTTCTCTTTTGGTCCCATCCTTTTGATTGTGACCAGGTCTGTGTTGTCGGCTGTGAAGGCAGTGTGATGGAGGTAGGTGTAGGAAAGTAAGACTGCTTGGTTCACTCCCTAACACACAGAATCATTATGACATACAAAGTGTGCCTTGTGCACTGAGAGTCATCACTTAACCTTGAATCTCTCATGGAGAGACTATGAGATTCCCAGCCTGGATGTCCTCTTTGCCTACTTCAGAGTCAAGCCCAAATATATACTTAAAAATAGATGTTTTGATGATATAGTGGTAATAAAATTAGGTGCCTGTCACAGTACATAGACTACATGAGTCAAGTTGGCATGAATCTAGCACTTGGTGTTGTATGATCCCGAGCACATCCTCCTGCAAGTCAAGGACCAGTGTCCTTCTAGAAGTCTCCCAGTTCAGTTACAAAGGCCATCCAAAGCATGAAAATATCTGTAAAAGAGGGGAAAGCTTCTCTTTTCCATCTTGACTCTTGACTCTGATCCTTGCATACAGAGATCAGGGAACTACCCTTGTTCTTCAAGCTCTTTGTGCAACAAGGTAAGAGAGCTTCAAGGAAGCAAAAGGTTGACCAAGATCCATCTGCCAAAACGGCTTCAGCTTAGGAGGCTCATCCTGGCTCAGCCCTTCACTATCTTGGTGAAATGGTAGAAGACAGGTTATGAAAAGACCTGTATTCCAGAGTGGGTGTGGTCACTATCCAAGTATGTAGCTCTACTATTTATTTTTATTTTTTAAGATTTTATTGATTTGAAAGTCAGAGAGAGAGAGAGAGACCGAGCACACTTTATCCATTGGTTTACTACCCAAATGGTCTCAACAGCCAGAGTTGAGCCAGGCCAAATCCAGGAGCCAGTGGCTACACTGAGGTTTCTTATGTGAGAGGCAGGGGCACAAGCACTTGGGCCATTTTCCACTGCTTTTCCAAGGCCATTAGCAGGGAGCTGGATCAGAACAGCCAAGACACAAACCGGCACCCATATGGGATGCTGGCATTGCAGGCAGCTGCTTTACCTACTATGCCACAACACTGGCCCACTATGTAGCTTTAGACACTTAGACACCCTTTACCTCTGTGCCTCATCTACCAAATGGAAGGGATGGACTGGACACTCTTCGGGGACCTTTACTTTTCTAAATAAGTCACTGTAACTTTAAACATGCCTGCAGGTGCCATCATAGACACACCCTCTGCTCAGGAGGACTCAGGCAGGGACCTGTTGGTGGGGGCCGGTCAGGCATGCTTTGGTGTCATCAGGATATTTGTACCGTAGTTTTACCTTGGTGTCTGCAAGCTCCTTCATGGTCCAATCAAAGCTTTTGAAAAAAAAAAAAAAACAGACAAATATGCCTGGTTTCTTCCAGAAGGAATCGGTCACAAGTAGAATCCACCAGATAAAAACAACCAAGGCTCCTCACAATCTTTTTTGATGGAAAGGGAAAGCTCAGTGATGCAATTTTGAGCTTCTACATTAGAACCTGAGAGAATACCATTTACAGGGCTGAGATTATTAGAATGCCACAGAAGGAAGAATTTCCAAAAACAACCCATTCCTTCTTCCAGGGCAACATTCACTGGAATTAAAGAGAGGACTTACAAGCAGAAGTGTGAGAGCAGGTACTCTTCCCAGGAACCCTTCCCAAGGACTGCCAGTGCTGACTGTGGGTTCAGCCACAGTGTGAGCTTCTGGGTTCCACCTGAGTCAATATTTTTCTTTAAATATTTTCTTTATTTATTTTAGAGGTAGAGCTATAGACAGACAGAGAGAGAGACAGAGAGAAAGGCCTTCCATCTGCTGGTTCACTCCCCAAATAGTCGCAATGACCAGGGCTGAGCCAACCCAAAGCCAGGAGCCAGCAGCTTCCTCCAGGTCTCCCACATGGGTGCAGGCGCCCAAGCACTTGGGCCATCCTCTACTGCTTTCCCAGGCCATTAGCAGAGAGCTGGATCAGAAGAGGAGCAGCTGGAACATGAACTAATTACCCATATGGGATGCCAGCGCCACAGTTGGAGGCTTAGACTACTACACCAGAGCACCAGCCCCCTGGGTCAACACTTTATAGATTCCAAGAGCACTCCTGTCTTTCTGATCTGCCTACTTCATGCCAAGTCCCCAGACACTGCCATTCCCCATCTGAACTACTGCAGTGGGCTCCCAGATAACTTCCCTTCATGACTTGCTCACTCTTATCCTTATTGCAAACTGCAACAAGAATGAAATCCAGAAATGCAAGCTCTGCTCTTCATGACCATCCCATGAATCGCATCCATGTTGTTCTGTCACTTCAAGAATAAAGACTAGAATCATTAACTTGGCTATCAAGGACATTCTCCACCTTCCGGCCCCTCCCTAGCCTGCCAGTCTCAAGTTGCACCACACTCTCCTCCTGTGTTTTTCAGCTGCACAGGAGGCTGTGCACTGAGTTTTCCACTACTGGACCTCTGTGTATCCTGTGCACAGTGCCTTTTTCCTGTGCCTTCCACGAGGCTGGGTAATTTCTACTCCTCATCCTTTGGATATTGGTCAATTGCGACTTGCACGAGGAAGGCTTTGCTGGTCTCCAAAGCAAGGGCACACCCTCCCCAAATCCATCATAGCGTCTCATGCCTCCCCTCCGTGACCTTAGCTAAGACTAGAGTTCACAGTCTT